CATTTCATGATGGCCACGTTTAGGGGCAACAGTTGGACGTATTTCTTGTGAAAACGTAGTGTGGACTTGAGTTTTTAGATTGCCAGCGCCTTAGCAATTTCTCCATGGCTTGAATAGGTTTGATCGGATGTTGTATGTAGGACTTTGAAGGACCTTTCAAATGGAGTTGAAATACCTGAATTCACCATCAGATTTTCTGTTACCGAACTGCACGCACTTTCGTCTTCTCCTTTTGCCAACTATGCTGGATAGTGTTCCTTAGCGTGTTTTACAATTTAACGCATGTTACAGCAAATGTACTCCGCTCCACACGAGCAAGTGGATTGGTATGTGCATGTTGAAGTGGTGGCTTAATGCTACAGCTTGTCGTCCACATGCTAGCTGAGTAGTTTCTGCAGGAGAACGTTAATTGCAGGCTGGCGGGTTGAGAAGTATGTTTTACTGAGAGACTTTAAAAGCCATTGACGGAGAAGTTCTGCTTCGGTAACACTTTTTAATTCAAGGTTAAGCCTCAGCAACATGTTTTCTTGAGGGGAGCAACTTGGACCTTTTCAGGCGTTTTCTTTGGTTTCAAAGTCTTGTCTATGAAAAATATATACACGTGTTTTCATTGTATCACATAATCTGACTACTTGCTTCGCATAATATTAAAGTATACTATTTCACATCCTTCACTTATCTAGAGAAAGCCTTGATGAATTTCAAAGATATGGTTCCGAAAATGACACAGAAGAACTGTGTCTATAGCATAAAGTGTTCGGAATGTGAAGTGTGCTATATAGAGGAGAGCAGTAGACAGGTGAAGGTCAGAGTGAATGAACATAGACTGTGGACGCATTTTCTATTGGGACAAATGACTAACAGCAGGTGAGCTTCACTGTCCTAATTTATCAATGACATTGGTGCCTCTCAGGTTTATTTTAAACATATATATACTCTGTCAACCTTTCAACTGGACTGTTGTCTTGAGACAGTGAAAGCCCTCTTGTCAACGTCCAGTCTTCCCTCTTCTGTCTTTTGAGACCCAGCGGCGTTATTATTATTACTGTTGTTGCTTTTCACGCGCAATTAGGATAGATTGGCTTCCATCGTCGTCTCCCATCTAGACAACATCCGCAATCAACTGAGGTTTTAGTACAAGAGTGAACTTATTTGAATTTTCCCTCCATGAATGATGACATGCTTTGTGTGTTTCCTCCTGACAGACAACCTTTGAAATGATTGGTTGTCAGCTGAGGAGCCAGCTACATTGGGTGTTACAATTAGGCAGATTCATCATCGTATTTCTGAAAATCATTCTGCATAGTGCTGGTTAAGCAGGGGACAAACAAGATTTATTCGTGGCTCTGTTTCAGCACATTTCGTTGATAGATATTGAGGATAAAGTTGATGTTAATACAGCATTTAAAGTTATCTATCTTATTCCGACTAATCTTAATTTTGCTGTACGAGTTCGTCTTCTACATACAGCTGAAGCCATAAGAGTCCACCTGGACAAAGAGAAATCTGTACAGCCACTTTCCTTATATCGGCCATTGCTGAATGAATGTATAGAGTGGAGAACTTTGTCCCCACCTCCTAAATCTTTTAAAAATTATCATTGTCCAAATTATTTTATTACACTTTCTGACTACTTCATTTTTAATTACATGTTACCATTGTCTAAATCGTCTTATTTCTCTTTAACCATCCGTTACGTAATCAACTGGAACACTCGTTTATTCCTTAATTACTTTTCTCATTTTTACAAAACTATGCGCGCTATGCAATCCATTCTTGTTGTAACCATTTCCACGCTTGAATTGTGTAAATTAGGTCATGAAGCATATGAAATAAGACAACACTTCTGACTAGTGTTTATTGATTCGCAATGGCTTCTTCTGCCTTTTAGTGATGAAATCTAAATTAATGTGGCATATCTGACATAATCTTCGTCATCATTTTTTATGTTATGTATTGAAAAATGCTGCAGAAAATGCTGAAACGAAGAGGTACATCAGTGGATTCCTACAACATGTTACGGAAACGTCAAATGAGGAGGTCATTCTATAAAATGGTCTCTCTTGATAAATTTCGTATTACACTTGCAGACAGTCTATTCTAACACTAAGTTTGCATAACCACAAACATAAACATATATGTATAATTCAAGTTTAGATTTTCCTGTCGATTGATTGAACTGAAGTGCTCGGTCTCAGGTTGACATGTCGGCTTCTTGTGCAGATGCTCCGACGATATCTGGACATGTAATTATAAGTTAATTGGTGGATGGCGACTAGCAGTGGAATCCAAGATGCGCATTTCGTCCCATTTGGGATTCGTCATCTGGATGTACCTTCATTCCTCAAGCAGTGAGTGATGATGTTCCCACCGAGGCTCGAACTCAGTGCCCATAGTTTCAAACACTAGCCAAATCGTTATCCACCAGACCGCTTGGGCCACGAGAGCCACCTCTTGTGTAATTGCAGAATGGGGGTACATCTAGTGATGAGTCCCAAATATGACTGGATTCCACTGCTAGTCACCATCCACCAATTGACTTCAGGTTACATGACCAGACATCATCAAAGCATCCAAACACGGAGCCTACATGTTAACCGGAGATCGAGCACTTCGGTCCAATCAGGCGACGGGAAAATCTAAAATTGAATTATATATATATATATCATAAAGGCACAGATGTGAAAACCAGAATCAGAAAGGCAGATCAGACATGCGTGAACGATCTTCGGATTTTCAGCACCACTGGTAATTCTTTACTTCTTGGAGAAAGCATCACGAAAGGCATTTCGAACAGGCCGATGCTTACTTTTATCAACAGCTGCCCCCTTCGATGGTCTCGTTTTGTAAATCGGACATCCAATGACGAAGAATTAATGACAAGCAGCTCTGAGAACTAATTCCCCAAGAAATGTGACAAAGAAAGTGGAGTTAGATCGGACACATGCTAAAGAGACTGCTGGGTGACATTATGCGCCAGACCATCTCCCGAGTGGGAAACGAAAAGTTGAAGGTGAGTCCTAGGTGATATGGAGTAGATCATGTGTGGAAAAGATGAAAGTTTATGACTAATCATTGAACGAGATAAAGACGACTGCAGTGAAGAGGGTGGAGAGGAGATGTTCGTGAATTAGTGGGGTTCTCTAAGCTGATTGATGATTGAATCCCAAAGATTTCCTCGTCCGCATCTACACAACATCCCCCACCAGCTCAGCTTGTTGAATAAATTGAACTTTTTTGAATTTTCCCTCCATGAATCATGATATTATTCTATCTCCTGGCAACGACTGTCCTCATTGGTTGTTAATTTGCATCTCTATTGATCACGTTTATTGACTCAGAATTTGAACTTTCTTGTGATGTCATGTGATAATTTAACTTTTATTAGCTGTTAAATTTGGTCTAAAGTAATGTGCGTGTTTGTTAATCGATGGCTGATTCACTTGAGTACCAGGAAGGCTTCTAGAAATTCCCTGACTGCGTTTCTGATGTTTCCTCTATTTTAGATTTCAACATTATCCCTTTGATGTCACCGGATTATTACTTCAACTGGTCCACAAAACCAGTACCAATTACACTATGGCGATGAAAACACAAAAACCAAGTGTTCTACATGGATGGAACTTAAAGAATTATGTCTTACAACATACGTCCAATTCACTAATCAAATGTAGGATCATCGCCCCATATCAGGATTAATAGCTGAAGCTGTTATGCAGCCCTCCCTACTCATAATTAAACCAAAAATCAGGACAAGTACGTTTTGTTGGTGATACCATCGTAATAATTAGAAGAAATGTGATTTTGAATATACCCACATGTTAATAAGCAACATATTTGAAGACATTAAATCTACAACGAGAGAAGACGAAGAATTGGATGACAACGAAATTCTGCTCTTAGATGTTTGTCTTAATCAAGAGAACTAATACAGGAAATTTAGAAACATAAGTAAATAGAAAATCAACGCACACCCATCCACACAAAGACCAAATACTCAACTATAATAGTGATAACTCAAACCGACTAACCACAAAAGAAACTGTGTGCAGATATCGTTTAACAGAGTTCATACACACTGCAGCACCACTCCGGTGTTGAAGAGAATGGAGGAGAAATACCTACTAATCGTATTCAAAAAGTTTAAATTCGAGTCATAACACCAACAACAAGCCAACACTGTAGACCACAAGAAAATTCATCCTACCGTATATAAGAAAAAATATCTGTGAAATAACAGCTAGAATATTTAAACCGTTTGAAATAGATATAGCACACAAGCCAGCCAGCCGACACAGTCAATTCATTCGGGGACGATGACGGAATCTTCGTAATTAAATCATCAACCAGGTGTTCAGAGAACACATCTGATTGAATATCCTCCACCTGAGCTACAAATCTTCTCCATTATTTCAAGTAGGATGTTCTGTTGACTCTCTTTATTCCACTCAGAATTCAAGAGAATAATAATAGTCAGTGTTACACACGCAGATGACATAAGTCATCAACACCTTCATGATGAGATTCAATGAAACATTTGATGAACGAAATGTTTTCAGTGATAAAAACGCAAGCATACTTTGAGACGAATGCTGTCGTCATCCTGTTCAATACTCCGACTTTAACTGTTTTATATGCACACCATTATTTCGCCTCCAATATCGTGTCATTCGCTAAATTATACACTTATAATATTTAAAATTATGATGACATCTGGTGCGTCGGTGGCATAGCGGTAGAATGCTCGCCGCCAACCACACCCAATGTGGTCCGAGTTTTGATTCCCGGCCTGCCGGTCGGCCACCGACGCACTCCTCACTACCTCGCTAAGCCAGTAATAAGACTGATAAAGAGGGATGGTTGATTGGGTATCAGGGTAGCAGCAACCCCATCCCGTAAAATAATAAACACCACTGCTACCGAAACTCCAAGCCTCTATGTTCCACACTGGGAACGTAAAGGAACAAAATAAATAACAATAATAACCACAGTGAAACAATAACAGTTTCAAGGTATATATGAATACATTTCCAATGTGTTTCTGTTTATATATATTTATATATTGACTTCTAAGCCTTGGGTTTTGCCAATTCCTTAAGCAGTAATGGTTTACTATAAGGTACATCTAATTTGTATCCACTTTTGTTGAGCTGATCATTGGATACATATTTCAGTGTGGAAGTTTCATCTGGTAGATGAATTTGAGCCAGACTGACTGATCGTCCTTGTAATTTCAATGGATTCAACATCCCGAAATGATTATTATTATTTGGTCCAGGTGTACACGCCTTTCTTCTGAATGGTGATTTCAAAAGTGATTGAATTCCTTTGCTCATTATCAATTTCATGGAGTTATTATTCTCTAAGGATTGATTTATCTCTTCAGGTGTGTTTAACACATTCGACGTTGGTGACTTATTTCTCAGTGTATTTGAAGAATACATCGGTAAAGTCAACTGACTTGAAAATCGTTCATTATTTGGTAGTTTAGACCTCGGCATTGATCGATTACTAGTTGCAATGGACTCATTTGATGATTGATCCAGATTAGTTGTACTCAATGATGATTTTTTTAAAGATTTTATGTATTTTGAAGGATTTTCATTTTTCATCCACAGTTGATTGGAGATTCTTGCATGATGATCAAAGTCAGTTGATGAGTTGCTAACTTTTTCAACTGTTATTGGTCCCCATGGGGATTCAGTAAATTTTCTTTGAGTTAAACGACGTTCATTTATAGCTGGGAATAAACCATTTAGATATGGACTCTTTTGATGATCCTGTTTTTTAAAAAAAAAGAATAAACGAAAATCAGTCATCTATGTAGATTAATAAACATCTTAGATTCATCTGTCTAATACAAGTGAGTATTATATATATATATATATATATATATATATAACATTGAAATTCATTATAATAAAAGTTTTTTGTATTTCCCAATGAATGAAAAACAAAACGTTATACATTTGGTTCTCTTGATAAATTTTGATAAAGAAAGGAAGTCTTCTTTTCAAAAATATAAAACACTCCCTTTTATAAATTTTGATAGAATTATTAGAAGACGGAAATTATCTGAAAAATGTGATGTATTTGCGCTATACATTTCGAACAATCTGATCACACATTTACTTGTCAAGTCAATATATAGGGAAAAGTTAAATTAAACAAAGTGACAAAAAAAGAATTAAGAATAATTAACACAAACGTTTGGTAATCCAATCAAATAAGGATTACCAAGGTAGGTTAAGAGTAATAACAAACTGTTTTTGAATACACAAGGGGGCTCAAGTTTATGAATGGCTATAGCCTCAGCGTATTTCAGAAAACGTCCTTGACCGTTTTTATAGATGACCTTAAAGGTTGAGTTAACATCAACCTTATGGTTCATCTCGATTAAATGTTTATCTATAGACGAAGTTGGTAGTCTGACACCTGCATCTATTGGCTTGTCACAATTCATCTGTTTTCCTAACCATTTTGGGATATGTCTTATGCTGAAAACTTATCCTCTGATTTAATTTCTAAATTACCTTTCTTTAAGAGATAGGTAGACGATATAATTTTGATATGCGACTATCATGAAGATGCGAATCGTCTATTAGACAGACTTAACTCTGTACAGAATCATATTAGTCTTACATGCGAGGAAGAAAGTCGCAGCCAGCTCGAAAACACTTTAATATTTGAGCGGTATTAGAGAAGAGATACTATAAAAGTGACGCATTTAAAATGTGACCATTACAAATTTTAGTTCAAGTTTTCATCCTCAATTTATACGTTATATATGTTCACTTTTAACAGTTTGAAAAAATTTGGGCATTGGGTGGTAAATGATATTCATTATAATAAAGCTTTTTGTATTTCCCAATGAATGAAAAACAAAACGATATTGTTTTTACTGACGTTTACTGACGGTTTAATAATACTTTGATAAAGCTATTAGCATTAAATAGCGAAACGTCAGTAAAAACAATATCGTTTTGCTTTTCATTCATTGGGAAATACAAAAACCTTTATTATAATCAATTAATACGCTTTGAAAGTTCAGAAGATGGGAGAGGAGTAAGACAGAAAACAGAGAAAATTAATCAACAGAACAATGTTAGCTTGTAGGTTCACATAGCAACTCAAAAAACAAAAGCGGTCAAAGTTTATGAGACTAAGATTTGTTCAGTGAGTTGAGATCACTGAATTTGATGACTAATTAATGTAATGAAAATCAAAATTCAGTTACCAAGGGAGTGAGAGGTTAATCACACTCTCTTTCTGTGTGCATAAGTCTGGTTTATATCGTTTGGCTGCTATCGCTTCCGCAAATGGTAGTAAATTTGCTGTCCTTTGAAAATGTATAAATTGATGATGAAACCTTAAACTAAAAATTGTAATGCTGCTTACATTTTGGATGCGTCACTTTTATAGTATCTCTTCTCTACTACCACTTAGATATTAAAGTATGTTATTATCACCTATATAACCATTGTAACTTCAGTTAGGGGTGTGCAGCTGATGAGAACCTGTGAAATAGAATGATATCATTTTATACTGCAAATTTCGTCTTCCTTTCTTTATCGAAAAAAAACAACAAAACGATGTTGCTTTTACTGAAGTTTCGCTATTTAATGCTGCTGGTAATAGATTTATCAAAAAATTAATATTAAACCAGAATTTACAAAATCCACTTAGCTTATATATATATATATATATATATATATATTTATATATAACAACTTAATCATCGTTCATCAGCGTGTGGGATCATTGTGTTCACGTTGTTGTCAAGTTAGCCAATTGTTAAAGATAACAAAGCCAAGTTTGTGTGTGTGTGTAGATTGTTGGATTTGATAAGTGCATGAAATTATACAAAAGCAGCGTTTGTTTACATAATGAAATTGCTTATCACATTTCTGTTGATTTTGTCATTTTATGGGTCAAATTCTGTCTTACTCCATCATTCGTATTCACTTCAGACAATTTGGATTCCATTCGATGTGGATGGCTTCTGATGATGTGACACATTCTTTGTGATCTCTAATCTATTTCTGGATAATGATTTCAATATTGTCAAAATTAATTTTGTGACCTGATTTCCCGATATGTTCTTCCGATGTATATCACACCACATTCCTAGCATTTTATATTGTGGACACGATTAGATTGAGAATCTCTAGGGATTTGGTCTTTTACATGAATAAGGTTCCTTTGTAGTGTGTGTGGGTGTCTGATGTTTTGAAGAGAACTCTGATGTCGAGCTCATTGAGTACTCTTCTGATAATATCGTCTGACGTCTCCGCACTATATGAAGTGATGATTAAGTTGTTATATAAGCTGAGATTTTGTTATTACTTCTGGTTTAACACTACTTTGATAAAGCAGTTAGCAGCGCTGAATTGCGAAACGTCAGTAAAAACAACGACAGTATCGTATTGTTTTTCATTCAATCACTGGGAAATACAAAAGATCAACCTTTATTATAATGAATATTATATACCACCCAAATTTTTTCAAACTGTTAAAAGTGAGCTTGATTTACGGACATATATAACATCGAAATGTTGACAATAATTTCATGATATCAGTTGACATGTCTTCCTTATTCATCAGTGAGCCAATTGTGAAACCAGGATTAGAATTTGTATACGAAGAAATTATTAATGACTCAATCCTCGAGGACTCCGTCACTAATCATCATTATCTAAAATGGTTCTAGAAAGCATTGTGATGCAATCATATATATTTTTACGAGTATAACCACGGAATGATATCAGGTGGAGGATCATTAAAAACCAGAACTGGAGTACTGTACAGCTGTTTAATCCTAGTTTGAATTCATGGAATAGCCATTGAATCGGGTAGGTCCCAGTGAGTGCCTGAATGCTTTACAAGCTAGCTGGCCTTATGACCAGAAGGTCCTGTGTTTGAACCTCACCGGTGGGTGCGTACTGCCAATGATTCCCAAACTCTCTGGTTTTCATTGATTCTCCAACTGATATCAATCAGTGGTCAAACTCGTAAAAATAGATCTAATCCTTACAAACCAACTCTAGATAAGGAATCATAAACATATCCAAATACGAAGTCGCTTCGACGTCACGCAAGGAATTGTGCTGATTCTATCAGGTCATGTATACTTGAACTGTAGTGGATTATTTATCAAAGATCCTCTGCAAAATATGAATTGACTCTCGACGAATATAAGAGATTCATCGAGATTCATGTCAACTTAAGTGACAAGAAACGGTCGTAGTCTGCCGTCAGCTGAACTACAGCCTTAAGCAGCTGAAACCTAGCGGCAAATTTCCTGAAGAACCCAAAAAATTCTAGTTCAACTATTCTACAGTGCCTTTAACTGACGTGCAACTGGAAGCCTTATCTCTGAGCCCAAATTTTTTACGTTATCAACTTCAATGCCGAAAATCGAATCAGCCAAACGGACGATCTCATCCCAATTTCTGAAGATGAGTTACAAAGATTCAAGTCAACAATAATCGACTGCTGCCACCAATACCTGAATACTAAAGCAAAAGTTCGCATGCGGAGGACTCATCGATCTCTGTAAGTAAGGGCTGGCTTCAGAGAATATCCCTGGATGGCATCAGAGGCAAACTGAATCTCCAGAACCCATTAATGGTGAAATCAGACAATAACCTGGCTGAAACAGCCAAACAAGTGTCAGTATGCTAACCATATCGTTGAGGAACGGTTTACCAAACAAAAATCCCGATACATTCACATGCCCATATTGTTTCAATAATTAGGAGTCGTCGTTAAATTTATACAGCTGTGTCAGCTTTTAAAGAACAAACAGTTCAGCGAAGAGTCTCTTTTCACCGGTGAATTCATTCACTTAGCTGTACAATCACAATTAAAAATACTTATTTTTGTGCTCATGTGAGTGTGTGTGCGTGTGTCCACAGTAGGTTTCTGAGACAAGAATAAAAATTAGTTAGGGTAGTTGTTGTTTACGTCATCAAAATGTTTCAAAAAAAGTGTGATGAATAATCAAATTGCAACTAGGTGGAGTGGGGGGGTAAAGATTATTAGGTACTGACATTACATTTCATGGATGGTGTCATTTGAAAATTTTGTATTTAAGGATGGAACTTGATGAAACTCTATCCAGAAATATATGCTCAGTGAAACCTGAGTCATATGTATTTATTTTTGTTTGTTCGATATACTACTGCTGACATTTATAAGTAGTTCAGTGAATCATGTAAAAATATGATAAGGCAAAATTCACGTTTGTTCAATTGGTTGGACGTCGGTTAGGGAACCATTGGAAAACCACTTGGGAATACTGGACAGCTGTTACGTCACCCTAGTTTGTGACTCTTCAACAGTACGCACCCACCCCACCACCTGGGTTTGAATCCAGCACCTTCTGATTTCAAGGCGAGCCAGCTCGTAGACCATTAGGCAGCCACTCACATGGACCCAACCCGATCCGATGGCCAGCCAGCCCATGAATTCTAACTTCTGCGTCCACTTCCTCGATGAGTAACTGACCTCACCTTTGATCTACTGTTTGTTCTATTGATACAGGTTTGTTAATGAGCACAATATCTCATAGACAATTTAAGCTAACTGCAGTTTTTCTACGATATGTGACGTCCATAACAAATATTTTTTGGGAGTATTGATAGTAGTTTTATTAAATTCTTAATCATGTTTTAATAACAGTTATAATAGTTAAAACAATTAGTCCACTTAAAGGATTTTGACAAAGTTATAAGAAGACGCAGTTTCGTCTGAATCGTGTATTATGTATTTGCGTGCA